TTTGAATGGGGGGTGGTCTCTTGGCCTACTGCAGCCTCCATCTTCCGGGATCAGACAGTTCTTTCACTTCAGTCTCCCAAATAACTGTGGCTACAGGCGTGTGTTGCTACAGGCGTGTGTCGCCACATCCAGCTAATTTTTTAAGTTTTTGGTAGAGATGAGGTCTCACTATGTTGCCTCAGTTGATCTTGAACTTCTGGGCTCAGGCTGTCCTCCTGCCTCAGCCTCCCTAAGTGCTGTGATTACAGGCATGAGCCACCATTTTTAAATTTAGAAGATATATTATGGCCAGGTCATTAAAAAAAATCAGTAAAAAATAGAAGTGAAATCACATATGTTGAGATAGAAAGATAAGTATATCTCAAATGTTAAGTTCAATAACTGTCGAAGTCATCAGCTGAAAAATTCTAAGTGATTAATTTGTTAATATATTCATAGATCATCTTAATTTATTGCTTGGAATTTGTCATGTGATGAATGGATTCTTTGGTTTTTTAATTTCACAGAAAAGGTACATATTTGTAATAATTATTACTTGTTAGAAAGTTCGATTTGTTTTATTGATAAGAATGGGTTTTAAACCTGAAAGTTACATTATGGATTGCTATGAAAATTTAGTAATAAGTAGTGTCCTTAAATTGTAAGGGGTATTAATTGGTTTGGAGGCTCTCCCATTCCCCATTCCTGGCAAACACTTCCTCCGCCAACCTCCTCACACCCAAGTATCAGCTTAAATGTCACATCCCTGACTTGCCAATTTAAATGCTATCTCTCCCCTCGCCTTTATTCTCTGCTCTTCTTCATAGTTCTTGACAACTTGTAGTAGTTGTATATATGTGCATGTGTGTGTTTTAAGTATTTACTTTCCTTATCACATGGCAGACTTCATAGAGACAGAATTTATATGCCTTTAATCTACCATTATGGAAAGGCACAGATTAGGCTGCCAATACATATATAGAGATTGATTAAACATGTTTTCTCTGGATCATTAACATTTTGTACAAAGTTAGATGTTATTTTGTAAAGAAAATAAGAAGAGATATATTATTTTATATACAATTTAGACAAAAATATTCCTGATTTTAGGATGAGCTTTACATAAAAAAAATCTGTCCTATCTTCCTTGACAGCTTTTGGTTTAATTTCATTCAAAATTGGAGGGAATTGATACCTATAGATATGTGGTGTTGTATTATGTGCTTGCCTTTTATTTTCAATGGTAATTAAGGCAGGCTTATCATATTTTCCATTTATTTCCTAACATTTGTTTATACGGCTCTGATGATTTTTTTTTAAAGGATCAGTCTGCTTTTTTTCTGTCTTTGCTGGCTCTTTTGACTCTGAGCCATAGGTGATGTCAGTGTAAAGTCCAGCACACCTTGTGCTGAAAGCTTTTCCTACTGGGTTTGGAAGTAATACTTGACACCAATGAGATGCTGCTCTGTCCAGATGCAGTTATGAGGAACTGGTTTTGGTGCTATTGTTTTTGCTTAACAGTTCCAATATTATTTCCCTGTGTGAGCTTCTGATAGTCCTGTTAAAATTCTTTAGAAAACTAGGAGTTTGATCCTGTATACCTATTCAGTATTTTTTTTTAAGTTAATACATATCAGGACCACTAGATGTGCTATTCATAATATAAATAATATCATACATGTAGAGTAACTTCATTCGTTTTCAAAATAATTGATATAGGTAGAAGAAGTAACATTTTGTCTTAAAATCTTTGCAAAGTCACTCCACACACATCTCTCCCTTTCTCAAAGAATCTTAAAAACAGAAAGGGGTCAGGGGCAGTGGCTCATGCCTATAATCCCAGCACTTTGGGAGGGCAAGGCAAGAGGATTGCCTGAAGCCACGGGTTCGAGACCAGCCTGGGCAACTTGGTGAAACCTCATTTTTACAACAAATCAAAAAATTTGCTGGGTGTGGTGGTGCGTGCCTGTAGTTCCAGCTATTTGGAAGGTGGAGGGGGAAGGATCACCTGATCCCAGCAGGTCGGCTACAGTGGTCTTGAGTGTTCCACTGCACTCCAGTCTGGGTGACAGAGTGAGACTCCAACTCAAAAAAAAAAAAAAAAAAGACAAAACAAACAAACAAAAAACCCAGAAATTATAGACTTTGTTCCATAGTTGGGTTACCAGTTACAGTCAAGGAAAGGCATTGCCTGGATCTCACAGGAGGTAGGAGGTCTCACGAGGAGAGAGACACTCAGGTGTGTGAATTGCAGGTTGAAAATAGAATGGAATGCTGAGGGTGTCTCTGTAGTTAGTGAGTAAACCAGTCAGAAGGTGAGAGGCATGACCTTCTTCAGTTATTTGGTTATCTTCTTGGTTGATTTTCGTGTATACCTTACAGAAAGAGCGAGGTAAGATACAGTTGAGTGTCAGTGTCTGCTTCATGTATTTTTTATGTCATGCATGTATTTTGCTTTGTAGCTAATTAATGGGATAATTTCTTGTGTTTTCCTTAGGCATCTTGAATCAGATCACTCAAAGTACTGAAGGTTAGCATAAGATAAATTTCACAACACATTGCTTATTGTTACATTCAATATAAGTATATTAGTGACGGATTGATTGTTTGTTGGAAATGTACAGATGGTCACTGACTTACAGTGGTTCTACTGACAATTTTTTGACTTTACAATGTTTCAAAAACCATACGCATTCAGTAAAAACTACTTTGAGTACCCCTACAACCATTCTGTTTTTCACTTTCAATATAGCACTTAATAAGTCACATGAGGCATTCAACAATTATAAAATAGGCTTTGTGTTAGATGACTTTGCCTAGTTTTAGGCTAAGGTAAGTGTTCTGAACACATTTAAGATAGGCCAGGCTAAGATCAGATGTTAGGTAGGTCCCACATATTCAATGCATACTACATTTTCAACCTATGGTGTGTTTTATCGAGATGCAACCCCATTGCATGTTAAGGAGCATCTGTACATTTAATTGGAAGAGAAAAGGTTTAATAACAAAAAAGAATTTGTCATTTTCCTTTCCACTGACTCCACTCCAAATTACATCCATTTCCACATTGCCTCTGTTCCTAGTGTCATTGAGCTTGGAACTCCAGGGGTTACAAAAATAGTACGATGAGCTCTCTTCGCACAAAGCTCATACAGCCTATTTTTGCCTTTGAAGCGAATCTGGCTGAGTCAGAGGTGCCATCCCAATGGAAGGCAATTGAAGAATTAACCACCTTTGTTAAGTGAATACCTGTTAGGCACTAAAAACCTGGGAGGGAGACACAGCCCGTGATTAAAATAAAGTAGAAGGCACCATAGCAGAAGGGTAGAGGGGGAACAAAGGAATTGGGATTGGGTTGTATGTTGAGGAGAGGGCCAGACAGGAAAAACCTTTGCTTTGGTGTTGGCCACTGTATAAAGTTGTGAAGGAAGTAGAAATTTATTGCGTTTGTGATTTTGTTTCTGAATTCAAGACATAAAATACTCTTAAACATCAGAGTTTTTCTGTCTTAAAGAAGCCTTGCCAATTATGTAGAATAAATTTATAAGGCATTTATAGTATTAGAAAGTTGTTATTGGCTGGGCGCGGTGGCTCAAGCCTATTATCCCAGCACTTTGGGAGGATGAGGTAAGTGGATTGCCTGAGCCTGTGGGTTCCAGAACAGCCTGGGCAACTTGGCAAGACCTCATCTCTACAATAAATCAAACAATTAGGCAGGCGTGGTAGCGCGTGCCTTTAGTTCTAGCTACTTGGAAGGTTGAGGAGCAAGGCGTACTTAAGCCCAGCTGGTCCACGCTGGGTTGGCTGTGAGCGTGCCACTGCACTCCACCCTGGGCGACGGAGTGAGACTCCAACTAAAAAAAAAAAAAGTTGTTATTATCAAATAGATCCACAAGAGAAAATGTTTTCTGTAAACCATTTTGTAAGATTTCCCAAGTGCTGTATTCCGATCAGTATGTCCTTGAAGGAGATCATCACCCTATACGCGCTCAATTAATATAGATACTGAGCCATTCCCAAATTACTTTTTTAATGAAGTTGTCTTCAGGGCAGAGCCTTAGATATATGAATAAAGGCACATTATGAGAATGTTGTAAGAAAACAAAATATTATAAGAATGATAATATTGGAAAAATATTATAAGAGGACAAAATAGATTACTTTGGCTTGTGAAGTCTGTGCTTTCTTTTGTGGCTATAGGAAATCAAAGGGGTGTAAGATGTGAGTAGCTAGGGTTTTTTTGTTTGTTTTTGGTAGAGAACTTCTGTTTATATTCCAAGCCAAACAGTTATCATAAAATGCATTCTCTATACATGGAGGAGAATATAGTTCTACAAACTAAATTCTTAATTCTTTTTTGGTTTCTCTAAGATTGCTTTAAAAAGGGAAAAGTAATTTAGAGTGAATTTTGAGATGGTTTTCCTGCTGAATAAATTGTGGCATTAAAGCAGAGAAATTTAAAGAAAAATAACATTAAATAGACCTAAGACATTTCAGAAAATATAATTTCCAAAGCTAAATATTTGAACAAATGAAATATGGTAAATGATGTAAAGAACCATGGTACAAACCATGCCCTTTATTTGGAATAATTCCCTTAGGAAAATTCTTATTCACGTTCTGGGGCCTAGGGTCCATTTTCTAAATGTGGTAGACCTTAAGATATTTGTGATTTCCATTTCGAATTGATCATAGATTATAGGAATACAGACATGGAAAATGGCATTTAAAAATCTTGGTATTTTAGTTCTTCATTCTCATTAATAGGATTTTGAGTTCATGCCTAATTGCATCTGTGATCAATGTTCAAGTCTAGCTTTTTTTTTCTTTCTTTCTTTTTTTAACCTTTATGTCTAGTTAAAGCTTTTTAGAGGGGGGTTGATAGATACCAGGAATTTAAACTTTGTGACCATTTATTTTAATGTAGTTTTTATCTGATCTATTTAAAAGTCAGATGTGTTGCTTTTAAGCTAAAAGATGCATATGCTGTTTAATTTATCCCATCTTTTCTTTTATGACAGATTAAATACAAAGAAAAATTTGACAATGAAACGAAGGATAAGAAACACCAATACAATCCACTTGAAAGTGCTTCTTTTAGGCAAAATCAGTTTGCCTCTATGCTGGCAAGTAATGTAAGTTGTAATTCATAGAAAATTATTTTCAATATCTTTTGACTCTTGTTTTTTAGAATTGACTTTGTTGTAATTACTGATATTTAATCAAGAGCACTTAGTTTCCAAGTAATTTGTAGTCGAACTGAAGCATATTTTTCTGAAGCTTTTCTGAGAAAAATATACTATTGTAATTTATTTTTAATGGTTACTGATTACTAATTAGTTAATAAGAAGGAATAGTATTGCAAATGAAATTATTATTTCTAATCAAGAGTAAAAGTAGATCATAGAGTTTTGCAGAAAAGAGTTTTGTATTACCACAAATTAGTGATTAGGACAATAGTTACCTCATGTAATTATCTCCTGAAATTGAGTTTATTGTAAAGTATTACCTGATACATAGTAGTTTATCATATAAAGAAATGTTCAGAAATTGTACTTTTAATGGCTTACAGTTTCTTTCTTATCTCTTATGTACATGCTATGAAATACGTCTTCGTAAGATCTGTTTTTATTTCATATTTTTAAAAATAATCAAGGTTCATTTGGTGAGAAATGATGTTTTAAATTCTTATTGGAATTAGGCAGAGTATAAATGCAGAAGCATCAGAAAAATTGATTACTTTATATTGTTGAAAATTTATCCTTTACAAGTATAAAATTATCCTTTACAAATATAAAAGTTAAATGTCCAATTTTTGCTTTGGTAGACCATTTAAACCCTTCAACTCCCATCACCTCCTTGGGACTTAGTTTATCTTGCTTTCATTAGTGTTTAAAATATATTATTATTTGTAATGCTTAAAAGATGTTCCAGCAATTGAAATGGGTATTTCTGTCTTTTAGAACCACTGAAAGCCGGGCTCGGTGGCTCAGCCTGTAATCCCGTGCCTTTGGGAGGCTGAGGTGAGTGGATTGCCTGAGCCCGCAGGTTCGAGACCCGCCTGGGCAGCGAGACCTCATCTCTACAATAAATCAAAAAATCAGCTGGGCATGGTAGCGCATGCCTGTAATTCCGGCTACTCGGAAGGCTGAGGCGGAAGGATCGCTGGAGCCCAGCAGGCGAGGCTGCGGTGGCTGGGAGCGGCCACTGCACTCCAGTCTGGGCAACAGAGTGAGACTCCAACTCAAAAAAAAAAGAAAAAAAAAAGAACCACTGAGAATATCAGAATGATTTTTTTCTTATTTGATTATTTATTTGCATGTACAAAGGAAACATGAAATATACACAAAGGAACCTAGAACATAGTGCTGAAAACTCAAGGTTTGGAATCAAATTGCCTGGATTTAAATCCTTTTCCATCCCTTGTTATTATGCTTTCATCTTTTGATGCCTCAGTGTCCTCATCTGTACAATGGGCATACTTAAACTATCTACCTACTGGGATTGTTTTGGAGATCATTTACTTAATACATATAAAGAAAAGTGTCTGGCACCTAGTGCTAGATATGTTTGCTATTACTAATATCTTATTATTACTAGCTTTATATCCAAAGCAGTTGGAAAAAGAAAAAAGATCTCTGTGGTCACAGGATGAAAAATACCCAAAGCCTAAAATCACCAAAAGCCTACCACCAGCATGATTGAAATACTATAGTAATTTCGATAAAGGAGCTGTTTTTCTTATTTCTTGAAAGCAGAGCTTCTGTGCGTATGTTAACACCACCTTTTCTGGATGTGTAAACAACAACAGGAATTATCAAAATGTTTTCAAGTTCCTAGAGAAATAAAGTCCTCTTTTTTTTAAAAACTCATTCCGTAGTAAATCAGCACCATCTAGTGGCTACTTGTAAATCATCTGTCCATTTACTACCAAACTACTGCTTCAAAAGGGATATTAAAAAGAATAATGGCAATACTGCAAAAGCATAATATTTTCTTCTCCTAGATGGTATTTTGTTCCATGTTATTTTCGTAGGTGAAGTACAAGAAAGACATTCAAAGTATGCATGATCCGGTTTCAGATCTCCCAAATGTGTGGTTTTTAGACCATGCTTTGAAAGTCAGCAAACTGCTCAGTGGAGTAAGTGGGTCGTCTAATGGTAGATGTAGTTTGGCTCCAGGAAGCCGACATGCCTGAGGTGTCCGTGTGCTCACCTGCTTCCGTAGATGTGCTTGTGCGTCACTCTTTCCCCCGCAACGAACTCCTTGGAAAGTAGTAATCTGCTTGCACAAACCCCACCAAGGCAGTCGCTTTACAGAGGGTGTCCTTGCTGGCTCTTTAGCACCTCTTGGATGCAACTACACTTTCACGTGTCGGCAGGTATTCTCTCTGCTCTTTCCGTTTCTTCATCTGTATTGGATTAAAGCCACTGGAAGATCAGGTTCTAAAGTTAGGGATCTTTTATTTTGTGCAAGCTAGACCAGAGTACCTTGTACTTAGTGTGCCTTCGGTAGCGTAAAAAATTGTCTGAGTCTAAATTTTATTTTCTTTGGAAATATATCCAAAAAAGAATTTAGGTTGCATTGACACTATGCTTTTAGTCTTGTGACGGTTTCCATATTTCTCTCAAGGTAACCAGGAGGGAAGGGTGAATTCTTCTTTATGTCCTGATGAAAACGTTTGTTCACCGCCTAAGCGGTCAGTCCCCAAGAATTCACTCTCCTGGATGCTATTTCCACCCTTTATGCATCTAGGCCCTGACTTCACTGGCTTTCATGACTGATAACGCTGGGTCATGTGTGGCCTCATTTTGCCTGTCTCAGGTTGACTTAGGGTGATGATAAACCCTCCTTTGACCTCAAATTATTTCTGTGTCTACTTTAAAAGTCACTCCCTCATTCACTGCCTCAAGCATATTCTAAGTTATTGAATATCTGCTTTGGGTTAGGCACAGATCAGATGAAGAAATATGTATTAGACAAAGCAGGAGAAAAAGTAAAAGAGAGTTATCTTCAGGAGATGTACCCACAGTCATGGGCTTGAAGAAATCTGTAGTTAAAATGCAGTTCTCAAACAGTTGAAGAATGAGATGCAGCTTCAGGTCACCTTTAGAAATATTTATGCTTGGTTTTGATGTATTGAAACTTACATTTTATATTTTGTAAGCCTTCTTTCTTGAACATCATCACCACTGTCATCCTTTCTGAATGGCATTATACACGTGAACAAGTCATACCCACAGAGATTCGTATGTCTTTACATTAAAAAAAAAAACCCCCCAAAATGGAATCAGGTCCTTGGATGAAAAGTAGTATGTCATTCTTTCCAGGCTGTTGAGCAAGGAACAGAGATTAGAGGAATAATTGACAGGACCAGAATTTGTACTCAGTCCTAGGACCCTTAAATCATATTGTCCTGCATTTCAGTGTTCATTCCTGCACCTCCTTATACATTCCTCTGTTCTTTAATTCTTTTTGTTTCTGTTTTTTTTTCCCTCCATGACTTACAGACAGGCTTCTAAAATTAAAACATTTCTATTCCCGGAACCCTCTGCCTTCTTTGCATTGAGATTTTGCCATCCAGCTTTGATCATGGCAGTAGCAATTGCCCTTGACCTTTTCCTATCCTTACTTAGGTTAAATATCCTGGAGATATGGGGATTCATATGTAAACAAGCCAATAAAAATATCATGGTGGTAATTTAAACATTTGGTAGCTGGAAGCAGATATGCCACTCATAGGCAGTATTCCTCTTCAAGAACATTGACCTTTATTTTGTAATAACCGTGAAGAAAAAAACACAGTCTAATATAATTTTTTTCTATCATCTCTTCAACAGGCAAAAAGCAGCAAAGTCATATGTTACATTTCTATATCATTCACAAAGTTTAAATCTTCATTCAGATGGTGCTTTTGCCTAGATTACAGATTTCTTTTTCCCCATAGAAAAATTGCAATTGAAAGATAACTTCATGGGAGAGAAAGTTTAAGACTTAAAACATGCATTTCTCTCAAGTACCTGCTTATTAAAGTTGTACAATAAAACACTGACTCAACTTTATTGTACCTTAGAATAGTCTACTTTCAAATTTTAACATAAAGGAAGTGGAATTTTGTTGACTTATAAAGACAACTTGATTTTATTAATTTATTGAATAAGAGATTGTTCAATAAGCAGACAGAAATTCTGCCAAAATCTCTGCTATGAATGGCTGTTTTCTTTTAAAGACCCTAGATGTCTTTTATCAGAATTATTTTTTACAAGTAGTATATAGAGTGATATGGGTACCTTAATTAATATGTACAGCTGCACTAATTAAAGTTTTGAGGAAATATTTTCCCTTGAAAAATGGAGCTCCTACAATTTCTTTTATAACTTTATATACATTAAAGATATATGGTGTGTCACTCTGCATAACTCCCACTAGGAGGCAACAGAGACTACTATATAGCAAAAACGAGCATTGGAGGTTTCTTTTGCAGATCTCAGTTCAAACAAGTTTTCCTCGTTATTTTTTGTTTATTTTTATTTTTATTTTATTTTTTATTTTTATTTTATTTTTTTGAGTTGGAGTCTCACTCTGTCGCCCAGACTGGAGTGCAGTGGCCACTCCTGGCCACCGCAGCGTCGACCTGCTAGGCTCTGGCGATCCTTCCGCCTCAGCCTTCCGAGTAGCCGGAATTACAGGCGCGCCCGG